AAAAAACTAGGATCATGGCCACTGGTCCCATCACCTCCTGGCAAACAGAAGGGGGAAGATATGGAGGCAGTGAGAGATTTTACCTTCTTGGGCTCCATGATCACTGCAGATGTTGACAGCAGCCACGAAATTAAAAGACGCCTGCTTCTTGGGCGGAAAGTGATGACAAACCTAGACAGCATCCTAACAAGCAGAGACATCACCTTGCCAACAAAGATCTGCATACTCAAAGCTATGGTTTTTCCAGTAGCGATGTATGGAAGTGAGAGCTGGACCATAAAGAAGGCTGACCGCCAAATAATTTATGCTTTTGAATTGTGGTGCTGGAAGAGACTCTGGAGAGTCCCCTGGACTGCAAGGAGAATAAACCTATCCATTTTGAAAGACATCAACCCTGAGTGCTCAATGGAAGGACAGATCCTGAAGCTGACGCGCCAATATTTTGGCCATCTGATGAGAAGACTCCCTGGAAAAGCCCCTGATGTTAGGAAAGAGTGAAGGCAAGAGGAGAAGGGGACGACAGAGGATGAGATGGTTGGACAATGGCATTGAAGTGACCAACATGAATTTGACCCAACTTCAGGAGGCAGTGGAGGACAGGGGGGCATGGCGTGCTCTGGTCCATGGGGTCACAAAGAGTTGGACATGGCTTAATGACTAAACAACAAGAACTAAGTAACATTGTGTCTAATTGACAAGGTATTGGCATGCTTCTCAGCTGCATAATCAGATGCTTGACCAGGGATGTAACTCAGATTTATCCCAGTACTTTGTGAATTAGCCACAATCAGTCAAATTAAATTATGTGAACCTTACATGAATAGTGAAAAGATTCTGGCCAATGGTTCCTTCCAACACTATAAGGAAGGGAAAGCCATTCTGCTGATGATATCCATTCCATTATTGGATGGACAACCATCAGATTTCATCCAGCTGTTCAAGGTGGAATAGCTGAGTTACTATTCCTTAGGGTCTGTACACATTTATTTTTTCAAAAGCCTGTTTGACCAGAAAAAAAAATACTCTTATGAACATTGTAGGTTACAATGGCTTTATACTGTATACCAGTGGTTCTTAACCTTTGTTACTCACTTTATACTGTATACCATATATTCCAGTTCCCCAAAACTACTATTTCCAGTGCATGCCAAGTATTGATAATCAAAGGAATAATACATTTAATTACTATAGCATCATAATTCTCTATATGCAATCATAATTATTAAATATAAAATAAGTACATTCAATTCATATATTTATTTGCAGTATGGTATACAGTTCAGTTCCTACCTCAAAGGTTTCATATGCTAATTTTGTCCTTTCATCCAGAGACAAGGTGGAGTCAGTGTCTATTTCTTCATCTGACTTTGCTGACAGGGCCCTCACTGTCTTTTGTAAGTGCAGGACATGTAGTTTCGATTGTACAAGTTTGTTTTCCAGCTCTTTGATTTTCTTTTAGAAAAGGAAAAAAATAAAAGGGGAAATGATGTTATTTGTTTTTCATGGCAAAACTGCAAGGGTTATGCTGTCAGGGAAACATGTTTTCATGTTTCTTCCAGGAGAACTTTTTAATTATCATTTTACAACACTCCTTTAATTTATAGGCCAGAAATCTATTTTTTCAGTCTGCTTCCACAACAATATGTTGTGGAAGCGTATTCCACAATATGTTGCGGAAGTAGATCAACATCTTCTGAGTTTCCACAAGGAGGCAGCCAGGATTTCTCTGCACAAATGTAAGCCATGTTCTTGGCATTTGTCCAATCTTTGCTTGTGCAATGGCACACTGGAGATCATATGGAAGACATGGGCAAAGTGGAGCACACCAGCCACAAAGCAACAGGTGTCTGTCTGTCCACAAAAATTGTCCTCTGGTTGTTGAGATGAGTCTGCATGGACGTTGGACAAAGGGACCTTATTTCTGATTCAAAGATCACATGTTATCTGCAGTTCTTCATATCAAATTGAAAACCACCTATTTCCACATTACAGATCTATTACACAATAAATCAGGGATGTTTAATTCATCCCATGCATACTTCCTCAGAGGAAGAGGATGAATCTGGTCTACTGTGGGAAATAAGATGGTGGATTGGATGGGTTTCTGGTTTGAACCAGTAAAGATCATATATTAATTTATTCTGAATTCAACCTGCCATTTGAGCCTTAGTTTCCAAGATGACAAATAAAAAAAAACTTCTCTAATCAAAAAGAAAGTATGTCACCAATTTGTCTGAAACCAATCTCTCTTGTAAAAATAAGCACAGCTTCTGGCCCATTTCCAGGATTACAGTTTGTCTGCTCTGCTTTGTAAATTTTTGTTCGTGAAGAGTCAGAAATAACAAAGTCAAGCAACACCTCAATTCTATTTCTTTTTGTTAAGTAATTCACCTTCTCATTATCATTCTTGATTGCTTTCAGTTCCTCATTCAATTGGTTCACTTCTTCCTGAAGAGCAACTTCGGTTGGGCTTCTACAAAGAAACACAGATAAAACAATGTATTCTCGAAGGCTTTCACGCCGGGATCCAATGGTTGTTGTAGGTTTTTCGGGCTGTTTGGCCATGCTCTTGAGGTTTTTCTTCCTAATGTTTTGCCAGTCTCTGTGGCCGGCATCTTCAGAGGACAGGAGTTAGAACTTGGTCTGTGTACAGGCAGAGTTCTAACTCCTGTCCTCTGAAGATGCTGGCCACAGAGAGTGGCAAAACGTTAGGAAGAAAAACCTCCAGAACACGGCCAAACAGCCTGAAAAACCTACAACAACCACAGATAAAACACTTATTGGATTTCTTAACTGTACTTAGAGAGGAAAAGAAACATAGAAGAAACATGTGTACAAACAAATTAACACCCCACTCTCCAAACTGCTAATTTTCTATTTTTTTTACTTCTTAATTTGCAGTGATGTGTTTGCATGTGGACTGAGTGTTAGAAAGAGAAAAGATATTAGAAACATTTTGTGCCATTTTCTCAAGCCACAATGGATTACAAAAGCACTCAGTGTCTGTGTCTTGTGCAAGGGCTTGGAAATGTTCTGTAGCCTGTCTCACCATGGTGACCATGTTCTGTAGGCTGCCATTATATTGTAAGACTTCTTCTGAGCCGGAAAAGCAAATCATGCTGTTCGGCAGAACATACTGTACTCTGAGGTATACTCTGAGGTAAATGTGCATAGAAATATAGCTTAGGTTTAACAGCCTAAACAACTACTTCAAGCTCAAACTACGCAACAGCAGAAGAACTACTTGTTCACATATGATCCTGTACCAGGCATGAATTGAGCAGGGAATGTGAAGCCTTATGCATGTGTCCACTTTGGAAAACAATGGAGATATACAGCAAAGGGAGCTGACTCTACACCAAATCCTTGTAACCTTTCTCCCACCTCTCTCAACTGTTTTTCTTCCAGCCTAGTATCAGAACTGTATTGAAACATACCTGGGATGCCAAGCTGCAGGGAAGTAAGGTGTGACTGGGGAGGATTTACCCTCTTACCCCTTGGAGAGAATTCTACATTTCTGCATTTCTGTGGATGCACAAAATTGGTTAAACTGCTGTACTGCAGCCAAAACTGTGCTCACGACCTGGGGTTCAAATCCCAGGTAGCCGGCTCAAGGTTGATTCAGCCTTCTATCCTTCTGAGGTCGGTAAAATGAGTACCCAGCTTGGTGGGGGAGGGGTGGCAATGTGTAGCCTGCATAATTAACTTGTAAACCACTCAGAGAGTGCTTTACAAGTTATGAAGCGCTATGGGGTGGTATATAAGCAGCACCTTTTGCTTTTGTTTTTGCTGCATGGGCTATTAATAGGGGGAGAAAAAGAAGAGTATTAGCTGGTTTATTGCAGGAATCAGCCTGTCCTCTTGTGCTTAATGTGTATGCAAGCTTTTAATTTGGAGAGAGGAATACAGCCATCAGGAGACTGGTGTTAGAACATCAAGAGAGAAAATGACACAAGGGTCTTTTTAGGATCAGTTTACTGGGTTATAACTGCACTACTGTCAATACATTTTATATTGCATGATAATAAGGTGTCCTCTTTCAAAGCAGCATTTTTGGCATGGGTGTCAGCACATTTTCCGAGCCAGCATTCGAATATATTATGTCACCGAGAATGGAATTCTTCCTCCAGTTACTTATTGATTTGAAGTATTTTTATCCTGCTTCTCAGCCAAAAAGGCTTCCGGAGCAGCTTACGCTCAATCAGCTAAAAATTACAGTCTAAAAAGACATGAGACAAAAGGAAAAGGGATGGGGGCATAGCAGGAAATGAGTACCAACAGCATCACTAGTGCAGTCCGTTCACTGGAACAGACCCTGCAGCAGACACACTGAATGTCCAAAAGGCAACTGTTGAATCAGAGGCTCCTAACTTTTAACAACTCCATAGCAGGCAGGTGCAACAGGGTTCTATCCATGCTCAAGAAAGATTTGCCATCACACAATTATCTCCTCATGCCATTTTGTCCGTGCTTATATTATAGGTTTCCATTTTCTTTTAAGACAGCCATATTTTGCTCTTTCACTAGCCCATATGAAAATTTCTAAAATTAATTTGTTTTAAAACTCAATTCAGTTGTGGTTACCTGCAAAGTTTGTGTTATGCTTGTTTTTGTTCCTGAGTGTAAAATGCTCTATATGTGTAACAAGTGTAAACTTGTGGCACTGTTCGAAGAGAAAGTCCGAGACCTGGAGCAGTGGGTAGCCATACTCGAGGCTTTAAGGGAAGATGAAGCCTACATTGATAGAACTCTTGAGCAGCAGCAGCAGCTGTCAGAGGGGACACTGCTGATGGAAGAAAACCAAAACACTGCGGTGGAGGAAAATGCTGTAGAGGCTACAAACATTGTGGAGGAACCACCATGGAAAAGAACCACAGTTAGGAGTAAAAAAAGAAGACACTCTTCCCTGGTGGAACTATAAAACTGCTTTCAGTTGCTTGAAGAACAGCATGCGGAGGAGACCCCACAGGAGGACATGAGTAGGGCTGAAGTGCAGCAGAATACAGCCCCTGAACCCACACCCTACAAAAAGAAGAAGAGGAGAGTAGTAGTAGAGGACTCCCTATTATGTGGAATTGAGACCGAAATATGCCGGGAGGATCCATGGACTTGCCAGGTATGCTGTTTCCCTGGAGGACAAATAAGGGATGTGATGAAAGGATTGCCATCACTCATAAAACCTACAGATACATGTCCCTTTTTCCTTGTCCACATGGGAGCAAACAACGCATTCAAGAGGAGCTACCAAGAAATCAGATCTGACTTCAAAGCTCTGGGAAGGAAACTCAAGGACTTTGGGGCCCAGATAGTTTTTTCATTTATCCTACTAGTGCTCGGAAGAGGAATCGAAAGATAAAGGAAGATCCTCTGGGTGAACAACTGGCTATGAAGGTGGTGTCAGAAAGAGGGATTTGGTTTTTGGGACCACAGGCTAAGCTTCCTGGAAGAAGGGCTGCCAACAAGAGACGGCCTGCATTTAACAAGGACTGCGAAGAATGTGTTTGGCCACAGCATGAAGAACTTCATCAGGAGGGCTTTAAACTGAATGGGAAGGGGGAGGGAGACGCAAGCACAGAGTTAAGGGTAGATGAAGCCTTACACACAATAAGAGGAATGGACCAAACTGATTAAAAGAGCAACAATAATAACATTAACAATAATAATCACAATAATTATCATAACAATAATCATAATAATCATAATAATAATAGAAGAAACCTTACACACAATGAGGTATGGACCATATTGATCAAAAGTGCAACAGTAATAACATTAACAGTAATAATCACAATAATTATCATAATAATCATAATAATAATCATAATAATATTCATAAAAATGTACAAAGACAAAGAGGCCACAAATTACACAACACTGTCTGTATACAAATGCCAGGAGTATGGGAAACAAACAAGAAGAACTGGAAATTTTAATTCAGGAGGTTACATATGACTTGATAGGAATAGCTGAAACTTGGTGGGATGACTCCCATGACTGGAATACAGCAATTGAGGGATATAAACTGATCAA